CTGATGGAGTTGGGTGGAGAAGCAGGTGAGGGGAAGTGAAGGGATGCACCATAAGCCTGGTGACCAGAACAGTGCCTGAACTGGTACCATAAAACTGATACTCTAACAAAGGTTAACAAAAGAGAGTGGCGTTTATTGCTGAATTCACAGTTATTCAGCAGCTGTTTACATAGTCTTGCTGTGAGTACACAGGATCTAGCAAATGGGAGGGCAGTTTAGTGAGGACAGTCAGGAGGTTAGTATGTAGGATCCTGAGGGGCTGAGTGGAACTCGAGAGTGGTGGTTGCCACTTAACAGTATGAGTTTGTTGTTGCCAGGTTTTTTTAGTTGTGCAAGGCAAAAATCTTTGCCTAATAGCTTTTTTTTTTAATATTTAGGGGAAATATATTTGAAGCCTACACTTTATGTAAAATCATCTGATTTGCAAGTATTGACATCTAACTCATGTTTTTTTAAAACAAATATCAAACAAGACCTTTTTATGGACCTGGTTGGGCCCAGGAGCCAGCTGAAGATTCAGCTGGTGAAATGAAGACATAATTCCCTTGGCTTCTTAGCCGTCAATGCAGAGAGCTCCCCAGTGCCAGGCACAGGAAGCCTTGCCAGACCTCCTTGCCATGTTCTGTCTTCTATTGTAGGGTTCCTGCTCCATGTATTTCTTTTTCCTGACAGTTGTCACATGTGCAGGCTACATTTGTATGTGTGGTTATTTGATGGAGTGTCTGCCTCTTCCATGGAGCTGTTTTTGCTAGTCAGTAGTTGAAAAATGACTAAGTGAAGTAGGCAGGAGATACCAACTTTGAAATGTACTCTATAGTAAAGAAAGGCAAAACATCACAAATACAGTGTCTCTCTTGGAATTCTGTGTTGAAAGATAAATAGACATTTTGGTGTTAGCTATGTTTGTATATCTTAATGCATATTCCAGAGAACCCTGGAGTCTGTACATGTAGCATGTTTTTGTCAGTATTTGAGGTTGTAATTCCAAAAATGCTTATAGGTTGACATTTTAGACTATAGCTAATCCTCTGGACTTATTGCTTTTCCTTGGGAAAAATAGAAACGCTACTTCCCTTATGGAGTTATTAGAAATGTGTTTTTTTTTTAGACCTTTGGCATTTAAAATTTTTAATTATTTTAAGCTCTGAAGGAATGGGAAAGCAGCAGGAGAGAACATGTAAGGATCATTAGATCCAAAGTTTCCTATTGTAAAAAGGAAACAAAAGGTCAACAATAGTTAATTCACCAAGTTAAAGTTAAAAGCTCTATGAGAAATAACATAAAGCCATGTGTTGCTAAAAACATGAGAAACAGCAGGAGGGAAAAATCTCAACTTGTTTTAGGTTTTTTTTGAAAAGTTTAATTTTTTTTTTTTGCAGTTTTTGGCCAGGGCTGGGTTTGAACCTGCCGCCTCTGGCATATGGGGCCAGCACCCTACTCCTTTGAGCCACAGGTGCCACCCCCAATAAATTATATTTTTTATATTTTTATCTGGGTATAAGTTGTCAAAAGGAAAGTCTTAGATTCTTAAATGGAATCTGTGTGTTTCCATTTATATCACATTCTGAAAAGGACAAAATCAAAATCATAGAGGTGCGGAACAGACGAGTGTCTCCAGGGGTGAAGGGTAGGGCGGGGGCTCCACGCATCCCTGCATTTTAAAGCTCTGTATGTGGTGTGATGTCTGGGATTTCCCTGTCCTCTTGACTAATAGGCCTTCTGTCTTTATGACGTGGCCTTCTTTGTCGCTGGTGACGTTCTGTCTGTCAGTAGACGGCCGCTGCTCCTTTGATTAGTGTTAGCATGATGTGCACAGTGCAGCTTTCTTTCTTGTGCTTTGAATCTACTTGTGTCTCTGTATTAGGCCGCTTGTAGCTTTTATCTGGCTGTTTTATCAGTCTGACATTCTTCCTTTTATTTGGAGTGTGCAGACCATTTACATCCACTGTGATTCTGGGCAGCGTTCTGTTTGATTCTGGTATCTTACTGTTTGTTTCCTATTTGTCTCTTCTGTTCTTAGTGCCCCTATTTCTCTTTCTGCCATTTGGACTATTTTTCCTGATTCTATTTCTTCTCCTTTGTTGACTTATTAGTCACATCATTTCTTTATAATTTTAGTGACTACCTTGGAGTTTATTGTGCAAAATCTAAAGTGTCACATCTGCCTTCAAGTGATCCTATACCACTCCACAGCCAGTGCAAGAAATTTGAAATACTGTACATTTCAGCCTTTGTGCTATTGGTGTCATTAATTTTATTTATACATGTTATAAACCGCACACCAAATTATTTTTATTTAGTTAATGGTCTTTTAAAAGATTTAAAAAATAAGAAAAGTCGTATTTATTTACTCCTGCAGTTACTGTCCCCTGTGTTCCTGGCGCCTGTCTTTCCATATTTGCATATCATCATCACACTCCCTCTGCCCGAAGGATCCGTGTCCTCTCACACGTGTCTGTGGCTGATTATTGCTCTCAGCTCTTGAATGTGTCTGAAAGAGTCAATTTACCACTTTCATTTTTCTCTGGGATGTGGCGTTTGTTATCTTTCAGTGCTTTAAAGATGATTCTTCATTACCTCCAGGTTGCATTATTTTCATAAGAAATTTGCTGTCACCTTTAACTTTGTTCTTTTGTACATGCTGTGTCTTTTTTTTCCTGTCTGCTTTTAAGATTTTCTTCTTATTTCTGATTTTGAGCTATTCATTATGAGGTAGTTTAATTCCTGGTTCTTGTGCTTTGGGTTCATTGGGCTGCTTGGATGTGCAGGTTTATAGTTTCCATCAAATTTGAAAACATTTCAAACATACTTTCTTCAAATATTTTTGTTTTCTCCCTTTTGAGAACTCCAATTATATGTACATTAGAATGCTTGAAATCGTCCCATAGTTTACTGATACTCTTTTTTTCTTTTTAAGTTTTTTTCTTCCTCTGTGTGTTTTCATCTTATGTCTTCCAGTGCATTAATCTCTTCTTTTGCCATTAATTCTGCCCAGTGAGTGTTTCATCTCTGTCAATAACATACTCTAACCAACAGAGCTAACTGGCCGCACTCATCTCTAGAAATTCAGTTTGGGTCTTTAAAAAACAAAATCTGTCTCTATTTAACTTTTTGTCCTTGAGGAATAATATTCTTCTTCCAGTAATTGATTTATTCTTTCTCATTATGGGCCATATTTTTCGGCTTTTTTGAAGGCCTACTAGTATTTGGTTAGATGCCAGACACTGTGAATTTTACCTTTTCTGGTGATATTTTTATAATCCTATAAGTATTATTGAACTTCATTCTGGTTGAAAGTGGAAATCTCAAAACTAGGGGTAATTTTTCCTTATATATTTAATGTTACTATTAGTTTAAGAAAATAGTTGTATGTAAACCAGTTTCTAAATGGGCTTGTTGTATTTAAGTTGAAGATCTGAAGTGACGCCTAGAGTATCATAGAGAGGAAATAATGCAGAAGAATAAAGCCTTTTTATTTTGTTCTTTTGGTGAATTGTTACTATGCTCCCTGACTGCTCAGAGCCCCTTCACTCCTTTTGGAGAGAGATGTTTTAAAAGGGTCCTATGAATATGCCACTGGAAACACATGGAGGTTGCATCTACGAGCTTAAAAACTTAAGAAGGTCAAGCATTGCGGAGCAAACGTAATGAGGAGACTTATCTTAACTAGATACTGAAATTAAGTCTCTAGTAATTGAAATACTGAGGTAGTGATGCTAACATAGACAGCTTAGTGGATCAAAGTGGAATGTCCATAAACTCATAAACATGTTTTAACTATTTAGCATGAAGGTGATATTTCAGGGATGAGTTATTTAGTAGGTGATAATTGGTACAATTGGCCAACTTATTGAAAAAAAGTTAAAGTTAGACTTCCTGCCTATATCTTACACCCACTTATATTCCAGATAGGTTAAAGTTATAATTTTAAAGTGATGGAAAAGAATACAGGCAATTCCCACGATCTTGAAGAAGAGAAGGCCTTTCTGAGTAAGGCACAAGGGTATAACCATAATGAAAAATATTGGTAAGATTTCACAAAGATTTATATGTTTTATTCGGCCAAAACTGATCATTATATACAGTTAAAAACAAATTTGATATCCCTACTGTATAAACACTCATAAACCAGTTTAGAAGAAGATGAACACCCTAGAGAAATGATCAAAGGATATGATTAAGTAATCCCAGGGGTAAAAAAATATAAGTATCCAGTTAATATTTATCTTTAAAATGTTCTACATAAGAGTAGCAGTTAAAAATAATAATGCCAGTAATGACAGCTATCATTTATTTTACATTTCTGTTTACCTGATTATGCTAAATGCTTTGAACAGATTAGCTAATTTAATCCTTTGAAAAGCAAGTATACTATTATATAATTTTATAAATGATATTTGAGACAAGAGATTAGGACTCTTGCCCAAAGTGGCAAAGCTATCCAGTGGTTGAGCTGAGATTATAACCCAGGCTATCTTGACTCCAGACCCCTGCTTTTCATCATTTCTCGCAGAAATAAATTAAAACTACCTGAAATTCTACTGTAACTTACAGAGAGATTGATAGTTTGCTCAAGATCACACAGCTTCTGGTAAACTGAATAAAAATTTTTAGAAAAGAGGCCCAGTACTCTGGGAAGCTGAGGTGGGTGGATTGCTTGAGCTCACCACTTCCAGATCAGCCTGAGCAACGGTGAGACCCTGTCTCTGCTAAAAGTAGGAAAACTAGCCAGGTGTTGTGCAGGTGCTCACAGTCCCAGCTACTCAGAAGGCTGAGTTCAGGAGTTTGAGATTGCTGTGAGCTATGATGCCACAGCACTATACCCAGGGCAACAAAGTGGGACTCTGTCTGGAAAAATAAAATAAAGTAAATAAATTTATTTAAAAAACATTTAGAAAGAGATATCATTTAAGTGTAAGAAAGGCAAATGGAGTTAAGTACATAAAGTAAACAACAAGCCAAGTATGTTCCAATTTTAAAAAATCTCTATTTGTTTCCAGAATATTTGAAGGATGCTTCAAAGAAGATGAAACATGGACTTATGTTTGTAAAACTGGTTAACCCATGTTCAGGTAAGTTTTCTCTTCTCTGATTACTTGAATGTTTTTAAAATACTGTGGCTGACACTGGCAGGTGTATACATGTACTTGTCTTTGTATCTTTGTTGTGAATAGCTCATAAGATGAAGAGCATCATTAGGTGACAAAAATAATCTGCTGACTCTGCTGGTCTTCCTAGTTAATTCATTTGACCTAAACTTTTTTTATTTCTTCTTATAATTTTAATCCACAGAATTGTTAAATCATCAAGACAAAAAAGTAGCATGTTTGAATTCTCTCTGAAAACAGACTAATTTTCTTTGACTTTATTGAGCCAACTTTTCTTATAATAATTATCCAGCTTTAGTCTCCATTTATATTCATTGTATGTTATAAAGTAAGATAAACAACCAAGGTTAAAAAAAAAATAACCAGAATAGAAGGCTTTTACTTGACATGCCAAGATTATGATTAGTTTCATTTTCAGCTATACCTTTCTTATTTTGTTCTGACCAGTCATACATTTTAAAACATATGTAGTGAAGAGATTCTATTTTATTGGAAAATAATTTTATTTTAACTTTATATTCAGTGCATTTTCAGTTTTATCTTCTAATTTTTTAGGTAAAAATACGCTCTAAATATGTAGCTACATTGATATTTATCCCTGTGTTGTATAGTTTTTCCATTAATTTATAAGGTTTGAGTGGATACACAACTTTAGCAAATTGGAGCTTTGTCCTGGCGATTACAGTGACAGTGAGGGGGAGCTGTGGGTGGTGCCTACTGTTGGAGAGACACATGCATTGAAAAGGGAGAGAGGAAGAACATTTCTCCAGGGTTATTGTCCTCAAAATGAAATTGAATGTATTTGGAAATCTTAGGTAAACAGAAGACTAAGTTGAGATGAGAAATATTTCTTCAAGAGAAATTTTAGATAGCGGTAAAGTTTCTAAAGCATTTAACACAAGTATAGGTACAAAAGAAAGCCAGACTTCTTTTAAAATTTGTTTTATCTAACTGCCCACAGACTCTGAGGAGCAGCTATTTCTATTTGCAACATTGTCATTGGAAAAATAAAGGCTGATGTTTGCCGAGTATTTGCTGTGTGCCAAGTACATTTTTAGGAAATTTACATGTATTCTTTTTTTAATACTTACAAAACCCCTATGAACTAGGTTCATTACTATCCTCTTTTACAGATGTGGAAACAGAGACCCAGGCAGGTTTATGTAACTTCTCCAAGGACACGTACCAGCATCTAGTAGGGATGGATTCAGACCCAGGTTCCTTGATGCCAGGGACTATGCTGGGCTTAAAATAAATTTTCATGAGTTGCAAGGATAAAACATGCAAATGTGTGTGACTTTCACTCTCTTCTACCTATGTACCCCCATTTTCTTTTAAAGAAAGGGAAGTTTTATAAACGCCCTGCAGACTGAAGCATGGCTTGGCCTTTCTTGTTAGGGTTGGCCTGTGGGTCCACAGGTGTGGTGCCTATCTCAGCCCCTGTGTGTGGAGAACCACACCCCACCCTGGACAGAGGACCTGCATGCCAGCTCAAATCATCTGGCTGGTCCATTAGGGTTTGATAACTTGGGAATGGATTCCTCTCCTGATAATGATGGGGCATTCAATGAGAGGCTTTGTAGCCATTAAGATAAAAGACTTGCACTTTTTTAGTTTTCTGGTATAAGTTCAGTGAGGATTATTATAGAGCTGGAAACAGACATCTGTGTATGCTAGCCATCTGCTTTCCTTGGACTCGGTGTGCATGGGATATGTGCATGTCTGTGTTTGTGCTGGGAACGCTCCTCAGCACTCCTGGATGGTCTCTTGTTTGTGTGTGTATGTATGTGTCTGTGTGTATGAAAACTTACAACTAAAACCTGGATTTGTCTTAACAGGGGAAGGAGCCATTTACTTGTTTGATATGTATCTACAACAGCTGTTTGAAGTAAAAGTTTTCAAGGAAAAATACCATTCTTGGTTTATAAATCAATCAGTTCAATCCGGTAGGTGACTAGTGTCTGTATTTCAAGTACAGTAGAACCTCTGTAAGTTGACCCCCGAAGGACTGGAACAGACCACTCAGCACACAGAGGTGGTCAGTGTAAGGGACTAGCTATGTGCTGACAAGGACACGTGGTGCATTTCTGGTCTGTGAACATTAGGTCAGCTACTGGGGGGTCAGTGTAGGGACAGGTCAGCTGGGAGTGTACTGCATATACTCCAGCTTTTCCATCCTTATGGGGCTGTGGGGCTGTCCCTGGTTTGGAGTCTGGTCAGTGGGCTAGCCTTTCTTGGCATCAGAGCAGGGTTAATTCAGGATGAAGGAAAAGTAATTTGAGTACCAACTTCAGGTAATTCACTGTGTGTCTTAATTGGTAGTAAATTTTAAACTAACAACTCTTATTTGTCTCCTAAAACACTGACGCATCCTTGGTCAGAAGTTAGATTATTTTGGTACCATGGAATGCTCATTGTTTTAGCCTAGAAACTCTTTAGAAGACCTTCAAGTTTTTAACATCTTATTTCCTTGAAACTAAATACTGATACAGCTTCTAAAATAGACTAGAACATAAACAGAGTTTCCTGAAAAGCTCTGTCACGCACTCTTCCACTGCTGGAGTTCTGTATCTTTTAGTGTCCCCTTAATTTGGGGCACTGCTGACACAGAGGAGAAAACGATCTTCAGAAACCCATGTTCTGCCTCATGTTCAGGGGCTTTTGGGGTGGGGGAAGTCAGTGGATATTTGAAGTGTTCTGGACCCCTCTGCCCATAGGCCACAGAGGGACTGTGTGTAGCTTCCCACAGCTTCACCCTCTAGCACAGGAGTTTACACTTTCCCTCAGCTTTACACGTAGACTGAGTGGGTTTCCTAATGTTTGATGGATCCCCCATCTGTCTGTTCTTCTCCTTGACCCTTACTCTTTTCAAGGAGAAGGCACTGGAGAGGCATTGTTAAGACTTATTTCTATATAGGAGAAATGGAGAGTTAAAGATCAATGTCAGTGTGTTGGCTCTCTTCTCCATGGAGAAGGAACAGGAAGCCCTGGAGCACATTGTTCCTTTTGAGGGAATCACATAGAATCTTAGGCCTGTGAAAAAAGAGCTTCTGAGTTTGAGATTTCACATATATTTTTCTTTTCTTTTTTTTGAGACAGTCTCACTCTTGCCCTGGGTGGAGTGCCGTGATGTTATAGCTCACAGCAACTTCAGAGTCCTGGGCTCAAGCATGCCTCCTGCCTCAGCTTCCCAAGTACCTGGAACTCCAGGCACCCACCACAATGCCCAGCTAGTTTTTCTATTTTTAATAGAGATGGGGTCTTGCTCTTGCTCAGGCTGATGTCAAACCCCAGGCTCAAGTGATCCACCATGGCCTCCCGGAGTGCTAGGATTTTTCAACAAATGGTTTTCACATTGAGGTTAAGATGAAATATTCAGGCTGTGGGTTTGATCTGCAGGAGGTGCTCTCCACTTCGCCACCCCCGTGGACCCTCTGTTCCTGCTTCTGCACTATCTCATGAAGGCTGGTAAAGAGGTGAGTTTATCTGAGTAGGGCCTGTGCACCAAGGAAGCTTAGCAGCCTGCTTTTGCTTCATCTTTTCCCTCTCCTTTTAATGGTCCAAATGTAGATTCAACATACTTGAGGTTTAATGCGGTTATGGTGAGAGATGCGTGTTGTGTGTGCATGTCTGGGTCGCAGCACTGTCACACGGCCTGCAGGGTAGCACCTCAGCCGTGACCCGTTTGGCCCCACTTGCCCGTGACCTCTGGATTGCCTGACCCACTGTGCCTTGTGCTTACCAGTTAACAAAGCCTGGCACTGATGGCTTTTAGCATTAAGTACTCATTAGATCTGAAATACAAAGCAGTGTTGCAATATTGATCACAGGCCTCAGGAGAGGAAAGAAGATTTACCTTCTTTGTGACAAGCTGTGGAATTGGTAAACTGGGGGCATCTGGTAGAAGCTCTTTAATGGGAAGGCACCAGTGACACCTAAGGAGTTCCACGTGCATACAGTTCACCTCTGTGATACCAAGAAAGACAGCGTTTGCCAGTAGTCATAGTTTCAGCCAAAACTTCTGAAACCTTTTGTTTTTAGGATACTTTTACAATTGTAAATGTTCCAAATAGCTTATGTTTCTGGGGGTTCTGTCTATCACTATTTCTTGTTAGAAATTAAAACTGAGAAATTTAAAAATAATTATATTTATTTAAGTTTAAAAACAATAAGGCCCTTACATGTTATCATAAATAATATATTTTTAATGAAACAAACAACAGAATATAATGAGGCATACAGCATCCATTTTATATTTTTGCAAATCTCTTTAATGTTTGAGTAAAGAGAACACAGCTGCATTCTCATATCTGATTCAGCACTCAGCCTATTTCCATGTATTGTTTCAGTAGGAGTACATGAAAAACATGTGACGTCATACATGTATGTAGTCAGAGGAATGAGGACAGTGGCAGCTTCGTCAGACAGCTGTGGGTGCCCCTCCCCTGATACTACTTCAGAAGCAACAAGGGAAGTTTACCCAAGGTCAGCTGCAATGTGGCATCTGAAACCTCAGCAGTGCTCTGTTGCACTATAATCCATTGGTCTGTCTTATACTAAAAATGGATCTGTCTGTCCATGTATGACTTTGTAACAGCACGCTTTGGTCATTCGGAAAAGTTGGTCCACTGAGTTATGCAGGTCTTCCAAATGTTGACACATCTCCTTTTATACACATCCCACCACTGATCTCATAAGAAAGCTCTTTAAGTGTTGGGAAGCTGTCATGGCAATATACAATTTTTTTGCAATTCTGAGTTTTGCTTGAAAGCTCCAATTTATCATTGGCTTCAATTACTGTCAGTCTTTCCCAGGATAAGACATGATCACTTTATTCACATTCTGCCTGATACTCAAGTCTCAGTAACCATTATTCCCAGTGAGTCTTTCAAGTAAAAATGATATCCATGAAAAAGCGGCTAGTTCTGCTGGTGCCTCAGGCCACCACCCCAGGGCTCTTCCTGGAGAGCCCAGCGTGTCTCTGTTGCAGCATGCCAGGCCCCGCTCCATCACGGAATGTCTACACAGCTGGGCTCGGGATCAAGATTGAAGTAAAAGTAATTGCTTTTTTTACTCATTCAAGAATATTCTTGAATGAAACTGGCATTTTTTTTTTTAACTGCAATTACATGAGAATCTCCAGATAATACAGCTGGGGGGGTCTATTCGTTATTCTCACTATTTGAAGAAAAAGAGAACATTTAAACTGAGGCATTTCTCAGGCACTTGTTAACCTAACAAACAGAAAGTAAGTATGACAAGCTGTTATACTTGCTACCAACAAGAGGTTCTCACCCCTAAAACCCGAGAAGGGTGGTTGTAGAAGGAAAACTGACCAGGTATGGTTTCTGTCTCTTCAGAAGGAGTTTCACTGAAATGGGAGTAGAGTGAGTTGGAAGTAGAGTCTGGGCACGGCCCTGCCCCCTTACAAAGTTTGGTATTCCACACTGGGGACATGTGATTCTAGTATCTTAATGTAAACAAACTTCACCTCTCCCTGCAGCTAGTAAAGCTGAGAGAAGCCCATCACGAAGGAGGGTGCTCTCAGTTCCCACGGTCTGCGCCCTGCCTGGCCTGTCCGCAGCATTCTGGGCCTGCCCTCTAGCTATCTTTTCTTGTATTTCTTGTATTCTGGTCTGAATTGGAAAGCGTTGTCAGACAGCTCTGACACGAGTTAGGTTCAGTTTTGGTATTTTTCTTTGAGTGGTGGCTGCTATGGAGTGGAGTGGGGGCCTGCTCTGCAGCCCTGGCTGGTTCTTCTGCAGCGTGAACGAGTGGCACCAGCCACACAGACTCCACCACCTCTGCCTGCTCTGTGGCTTCCAGTGCTGTGCTAGCTCTTCATTCCCTATTTCATCTGGTGACTGTGCTGGGCCAGATGAGGTGCTGCTGGGAACGCAGGGCTCATGAGAGCTTCCTGGAAGGAGCTGAGGGCCAGTCCTAGAGCCAAGCCTAGAGCAGGGGTTCCTCAGAGGGAGCAGACATCTCCGGGCTAAGTGTAAAGGCCTAGCCATGAGGTAATGTATCTTTCCCTCTTCTTTTTGTGTGAGTTGGTTGACTGGAATACTTGCCTCCTGAATAACTGAACTGGTTTTCTTTCTTCCCCCAGGGCAAGTTTCAGCCCCTAGATCAAGTTGTGGTGGATGACATATTTCCCAATTCCATCTTACTGCTAAAACTTCCTGAACTTGAAAAATCACTTTGCCATGTGACAGAGGAAAAAGGTATAATTTTCACGATCAGGCTTATGGGCTTGCTAGGCACACTGGGCCTTTGTCTGAGAATGCGGCTGTGTAAAGGCTGTGTAAGGCTGTGTAAAGGCTGTGTAAAGGCTGCTGAGTGTCAACACTTATTCTGTGTTGTCCCTGGGAAGCTGTCATTCAGATTTCCACTCTTTGGAACAACAACGGGGAAAATCTGGTGCCTGCCTCCCAGGGGGCAGGAATCGTGCAGAGCAGGGCTTTAATCTCTGCTCCTCTGTGAACTATGTCTGTGACTGTAGGCAAGTTACTTGGATACCCTCAGCCTCAGATTTCTCATTTGTAAAATTACGTAAAACCTGTTCCTTAATTGATACAAGAAGCATTTATTGAACGTCTACTTGGAAGTGTGTGTTGTGCCTTCTGGACATTTACAGGTGAGACATTGTCCTTATCTTCATTTTGCTGAGTCTGAAGAAGGTCTGTGACAACTCAGACAGTCAGTGACAGTGGGAGTGAACCCTGGGTTTTCTGGCAGGGACCGTACAGGTGGATAATGTGTTGTTCTCCTGGGGGAAATGACCTCTTTGTGGAGTTCTGAAGGATAAATCAGAGTTTCAGGGGCTCAGATATATGGGAAAATTTGTCCTAATGTTTAGCAGGTTCCAAGGAATTTAGTATATAGAATGCTGGAGAGCACTTTAGATTGGTAAGGAATGACACGGGAATGCTGGCAGGGGCCCAGGTGGCTTGGACTTTATCTAATGGTAGTGGAGTGGCTGTGAAGATGGAAGTGGGGGAATGCTATAGTGTGAAAAATATATTCAGGAAGTTAAGGCCAGGTTGCCATGATCTAGACAGGAGATCACAGTAGCCTGAGCCCAGGTAATGGAGCCAGAAGGAGGTGGCCATTCAGAGGTGGAAGTAAGCACATCTGGTGGCTGGCTGGTGTCAGGAGGAGGACTCAGGGAAGGCTTCTGGGTTCTTGCTTGACCCCCAGGATGTGCAATGAAATGAATGCTACCTGACATTCACCTCTTCCCTGCCTGAGCCCGCCACTCCTGCCCAGACCCTCCCTCTGCTCCTGCCCTCTCCCTCTCTCCTCTCCTGCCTGTGCCTCCTGCCCTTGCTTTCCTGCTATGGGAGCAGCAGGCTCAGACAGTGGAGAGGCAAGTGTTAGGTAGGTAGTGTGTATTTTCTTTTATTGGAGAAGGAAGTGAGGTGCTAGGTGTGAATGTGTTTGACAGGTTTGAAACAGTACACAAACTTAGCAGCAGTCTCTCGGAAGAGCATCCAAGTAGCTTCAGGGTTAATATGGAAGCAAGTGTGGGAACTAGAACAACAGGCTGATAAGCTGTGCCTGTTTGGGGTCATGGATGGTCTGACCAACTGTGACAGTTCTTCTGGGACCAAGAAAGTTGTGATTTCAAGAAGTGTGAGCTCCTGGTGGGAAAAGAGAACCTCATTTATTGTCTTTCATCTGTGAGGGAGTCTACATATTCGTACTTGGCCACATGTGGAGCTCCATTGTGGACCTGAGGGGTCTGTGGGCCAAAGGTCTACCAGACCCATCCCAGACTATCTCCTGGATGCTGAGCTGGGCACAATACCACAGTCCTTATGTGGGTGATGAACGAAGTAGCCCATAACCATTTCTGAAAACTAAAATAATAAAGAATAATTTGCAAGTCATTGTGATATTGGTCAGTGTGAGCTGAAAATGCACCGTACTTGTCATCCAGAATTCTGCCATTAGCTGTATGAGAATAGTCACCTTAAAGCGGAGCCAGAAACCGAGACTCAGAGAAAGCGTTGGGCTTCTGCACCTGTCTTCTCATTTTCGGCAGCAGAGAGCAATAGCTTCTCCCTCATCCCTTCCCTCTTGCAAACCAATCCCCTGACCATGTATCGTGTCATTATCTCAGCTTCTACCCCAATTCTCCTTTATTTCTCAACATTGCCTAACTTTTGGAAGTTCTACACATCCATTTTCAAAGCATCTGTATGATCACCCATTAAATTTGCCAAACATATAAAACTTTAAGCCTCAAATTTTTCCTTCTTTATTTTTAAACAAGAGTAAAGGAAAAAATAATTCAAATTAAGTTTCACACAGTAAAAGATGCATGCAGTCTCTAGAGGTCTAGCTGTTTCTTTATGTCAAATTCTTCTCTTTGCGAACTGCAGCTTGTAAATCTTAAAATAATGAAAGGTTTAAAAACGTCTGTAATGGGAGAGAAAGACAGAAATAATAAGATCCCAGATACTTTCCTCAAAAAGTCCTCTTCATTTAAAAAGCCATATAAACAGTTCCACATTATAAGAGGCTTTGGCCCTTTACCCCAAACATAAATAAGTGAAACACTGTTCTTTGTATAAGGTTTGTGCATGAGGGTATCATACTGAGATGGACACTTTTCCTATGAAGAGCCACAGGCAAATGTTTAGCAATTGGAGATTTACAAGTAGCTATGAGAGGCTGACAAACAGGACAAGTGCTGGACACGCACTTCCATGACAGTAGAACTTGCATGCTTGTTTGATATCCACGATTTATAATCCTCACAGCAATCCCCTTTGATTGTGATTATAGCCCACGTTTTCACACATGAGGAAACTGAGGCTCAAAGATGAGTTTAAGTAACTTGACTGATATCGCAGAACTCAAAGGGGCAGGACGAGGGCCAGAACCCACGTCTGGCTGACAGCTCTTTCTTCTTCTTCTTCTTTCTTCCTTCTTAAAGCCATGTGACACTTTCAGAATACTCAGCTATGGAGTTTTTAAGTGGCATGTCATGAAAAAGTGGAAACTTGATATGTTTATTTTTAACCTTACATATCCTCCCTTAAAAAATTTCCCTTTCTGTGGCAAAATGAGAGAGACAGAAAAGGAGAGAGAAAATTTCTGTGGCTTCAGGAAAAGATCACTGTCCTCCCTGCGGTGGCTTCCCCACTTCCAGGCCTTGTGTGACCCTGCCTGTCACCTTTCAGTGATTGTGGTGGGTACTGGCTGCTCATTTGAATTTGATTTATTTTCCATTTATAAATCAGCGTTTGGCTCCACTCTTTGTAACTTCTAGATTTTTAAGTAAGGAACAAGGAAGACTACTAAAGAGTGGTCAGTTAACATCCATGATGGGGAGCAAAGGAAAAGAAGAAAGTTGGTAACTTTTCAACTTCCATCCTCTGCAGGGGATTGTGTAGATAGAGTGAAACCTGAAATACTCAAACTCCCCAGCCAGCTGCTTTGGTATTAAACTCCAGATGTGTTCTTGAACTTCTGTGGCATTAAAGATCTGGCTTAGCCTGCTAGGTTTGTGAGAACCCTCCCGTCCTGCCTTCTCCCTGGTGTATAATCCCAGCCACGGTTGTTTGCACCCTGAATGATGATGGCGGCGACCTTAGCCCTGCCTGCTTTATTAGCAAAGGAAATGATGTGTCTCTTATTTGCTAGCTTGGGGCCTCAGAGCACATTTCTTGCCAAAGAAGCTCATGTTCAGTGGAGAGATGGCATGGGAAAGGACTAATAAAGAATCATGAACTCTATCTCAAATGTAACACTCTGTTTCATATTGCAAGCAAAAGCTGCACTGTGCTGTCTGAGATGATTAACAGGAAGAGCCAGGAAATTTACCTGATTAAAATACCCCAAGTACAGTCGCCAAGTTCTTTCCTCAGGAGGCAGGGGAGCAAAAAGAGACCATATGAGCTTCGGTTATGGAAAACATAGAGAAAGTAGAAGTGCAAATGTGCTCAAGGCAGTTTGTTCAACAATCCATCAGGGAAATTCAGGTTTGTGAACTGATGACCCAGTTGCTGAGCATGGTATTTTGTTGTGGACTCACTTTCTTATTTTGTAAACCCAGTCTTTCCAGATGTTTGAAACCAGTTTTATAGGCACCAGGCACAAGAAGGAAAAAACCTTTCCAGCATATGCATATATTGTCTAACACCTTAATGCTCATAAATATTAAATTTAAGATATAAATGAACGTGCCATGGTAGTTTTCATAATTGTGGGTAGTCTGTGGCTTTCATGGATATTTTAAATTTTTTTGCTTTTTGAAATTTGTAAATTTCAAAATTAAGCCATTTATATACTGGGTACTTGTACAGAATTCTGGAATGTGGTAATCATTTGTCTAGGGAGTGTTTAATTTATAAATAAATTTGTAATTTTAAAACTTTCCAGAAAGAGAACTCCAGGCCCAGCTGGCTTCACTGGTGAATCCTACTACATTTTAAGAAAGAAATAATACTCAATGAAATAATACTCGTTCACATTCTTTTAGAAAATAGATGAAGGAGGACTGTTTCCCTGACTGATTTTATGAAATCAGAATTGCCCCAAAACCAAAATAAAAATTATTACAAAAGGAAACTAGGAAACTATGGTCCTTATATCATAGATTAAAAAATGCTTAACAACATGAGAGAAACGTGACTATATAAAAATCAAATATATAAAGCCCAAGTGGAATTTTTTTATAGGAATGCAAAGTTGACTGAGCATTAGAAAATCAATTAGTATAATTCACGGTATTTACACATTACAGAAGAAAAACTGTATGATCATCTCACTCGATAGAGAAAAGGCATTTGACAAAATTCAGTCATGATACAAATTCTTAGCAAAATAGAAACAGAAGGGAACTTCCTCACAGCAAACATTAACTTTATTGTAAGACTGAACACTGCTGTTCCCCAGGACTGAACCGCAGCAAGAGTGTCTGCTCTCACTTCTGTGCACCGTTGTAGTAGAAGTCTAGCTAGTTTAATCAGGCAAGAACAAGAGATAAAAGGCAGAAAGATTGGAAAGTTAGTAGTACAGCTAGCTGTCTTCTCTCATAGACAATATTGTCGTGCTTAGAGAAAATCTAAAAGAATCTATAAAAAAAGTTACTAGAACTAATAAGGTTTCAGGATACAAGGTCAGTATACAAATATAAGTTGTGTGTTTGTATACTAGCAGTGAACAATTGGGAAATGGAATAAAAACATACCATTTATACTGTCATCAAAAA